TGTCTGATACAGGTTTACATTACCCTCTTGCCCCTTCATGCTTAACTGGAGTTCATTTCATTTCATGCAGGTGTGAACTGCCTGCCCCCCCCCCACCCCCAAGCCCCAAACTCTCCTCTGTGCTTAGTGATCATTTTCTGGTTTATACCACTGGAGGTGGACAATCAAAGCTGTCACATTCTTGACTTTGCTGATACACAATGTGCTGATTATTTCCAGCTCTGGCATTAGGGCACAATCCAAAGCCCACCAAAATCATGGAAAGAGTCCCACTGACTTCAACTGAGGTTGGATCAGGCCCTTAGACTACTTCCTAATCCTCTAAGTCACTCCTTGCCCTTCCAGTTTTCAATCCCTTTCCTTTTCCTTTAGGCTAAACACTCATTATTTACCAGGGTAGTGGCACTCTCAGGAGTCTATACTGATAGCCTAAAGCCATGTACCTTTTCCCATAGGACAGGGGTTCTCAACCTTTTCCTTTCCAAGGCCCCCCCAACACGCTATAAAAACTCCACAGCCCACTTGTGCCACAGCAACGGTTTTTCTGCATATAAAAGCCAGGACCAGCATTGGGGGGTAGCAAGCGGGACAACTGTCCGGAGCCCCATGCCACGGGGGGCACCATAAAGCTAAGGTGCTCAGGCTTCAGCTTCAGCCCAGTGGTGGCAGGGCTTGGGGCACAAGGCTTCAGCCCCATGAGGTGGGGCTTCAGCTTTCTGCCCTGGACCCTAGCATATCTCATGCTGGCCCCGCTTGGCGGCCCCCCTGAAACCCAGTTGTGGCCCCACCAGGGGGCCCCGGACCCCTGGTTGAGAACCACTCTCATAGGATATAGCATTTCATAGTGAACCATGTGGCTATTTCCATAATTTATGTGTAGCATAGCGTGATGTTTCCCTGGTGTTATCCAGACCCGTGATCCGCTAGGTTACTCCAATCCTTGACTCTGGGAGCCAGCCTTATTCTGCTTTGCCTTTGGCATGTAAGTTGCTCCGTGGATTGTGCAACCGAATGACACTAGCCAATATATCCGGTCCTGGACACAACCCCAGGAACCTCCGTCTTGCAGTGTCCAGTTATGCCTGCTGGACACTGCAAGCTTATATAAGTTTGTCAATTTAACAAAGAAATTGATATGCACCAGGCTTGTTATCCCAAGGGGAATCTCTGACACACTTTAAACCAAATGCACTGCTTCAGATAAAACAAACAAACAAATCTATTAACTATAAAAGATTTTGAGTGATTATAAATCAAAGCACAAGAAGTCAGATTTGGTCAAATGAAACAGCAAAACGCATTCTAATTTGATCTTAACACTTCCAGTGCCCTTACAAACTTAGATGCTTCTCACCACAGGGTGACTGGTTGCCCTTCAGCCAGGCTCTCCCCTTTGATCAACACTTCAGTTGCTTTGTGGTGATGTCTGCAGATGGAGGTGGAAGAGAGAGGAGGAGCATGGCAAACATCTCTCCCTTTTATCATGTTATTTCTTCCCTCTTGGCTTTGGCCTCCCCCCCCACTTCAGAGTCAGGTGAGCATTACCTCATTGTAGTCCCTACTGACCAAGGGAAGGGGGGTGACTCACTCAAGAGTCCAACAGATCCTTTGTTGTTGCCTAAGCCAGTGTCCTTTGTTTCTGTGAGGCTGGGCTGGGTTTGTCCCATACATGCCCTGATGAGGTGTGAACTGCCCCTCTGCTCTGGACAGTTTTTGCCTGGGCTTGCTTTAAGCCATGAGGACACATTTTCAGCCTCTTAACTATATATATATATATGAAATTACAACCTATAACATTACTGTAACAACAATTACTATAACAACAATGCTCAGTGCATCATGAGCCTTCTGCAGACAGCTGACATGACAAACTTTGCATTGGATACCACACAATCATAAGGATGAATATGGGGGATGTAGGTACAGAACATCACACATATGCAGCCAGAATGGGATATCTTAATACATTAAGATTAAGGTGTGTTGTCCCTAGAATCCCTGAAACTACAGGTGTGCATCCTGGGAAGGTCAACTCAGCCATTAATCACTCTGAAGTATGTCAAAGGTACATAATACAGTTACTGAGAAAGGACCTTGTGTGTGAAATCTTAAACCAGGAGGTCCTACTCACTTTCTGGGTGAGATTAAAGATCCCAAGATGCTTTTCATAAAAGAGTAGAGGCTCTTTCCAGTGAGCTGTCTAAGCCGTCCCCTCCCTGTTATATGTGGTGGTTAATATCTATCCGCCTCTTGCCCTCCACCCTAGGGGTGGTTTCATTTTAATGGTGTTGTAATACATATAGGGTTTACGAAGCATTTTTTAGAAAAATAAAGGAATCATTGTGTGTCTTATATACACACACACACACAAGGTATGTATCACTATTTGTATTGGTGGTGAAAGAGGATATTCTTCTGCTAAAGCCGGGCTTCTAAAACGATAACTGTCATTCAGTAAACTGGATCTCTATCAGTCCAGCCTCGCTGTGTGCACCTTGTCGTGCGACATTCCACTGGTGAGAACTCAGCAGGGGCGTTTCCTCTCCAGGTAGTACTGCACATATGCAAGGTAGAAAGCTGAAAATCAAGTCCCCTCCCGTAACATGCAGGGCAGGAAAACACTGTGTGACAAGATTGGACCCCAGGAGCTCAAGCTGTTACTACCACACCAGTGAATTGGCACAAATCCTTTGCTCATCTGTTTCCCGACTGCAAGAAAGGTGTGTGGTATCATGGAATTTGTGTCAACACTCGGTCCCCATTATACATGGTTTGGGTAAGTCGCCAGTATGAACTGACCAGCCCCTCAGCTGGTGGCACTATCTTAAAATAGTGTGTTATTGCATAACTGAAATGAGAGACTTGGTAGGGAAGGTACAGAGACACTTCTTTTAAAGTAATAATAGTTTACAAATATAGAATCAGATTTCCCAGAGTTCAGTTCCCATTCAGACACCAAAATAAGTGCCCAGATTTTCCAAATGGAGCTCAGCATGCGAGATTGGCACCCTCTCTTCGAGGGCCCCAAAGCACAATTCACATGTCCTCTCTTCCTATCTTGCCAAAAGATACATCAGAATAGCCCAGTAACAGACGCACAGTTTCAGGGTAAGCATTGTCTGCCCATGATGGGAGGGGAGTGCCTTGTACCATCCTTTAAGGATCTCCCCGGCCTTTAAAGAAGAGGAGGAACACTGTAAAATTTGAAGGGACGTTTTGGTTTCCAAAGGAATCCCTCTCCCGGAACATAAGAGAAGTTCTACCTGCAGTACAGAGACCTGGGTTCTAGTTCCACCTCTAGAACTGACTCATTATATAACCTTTGACAACTACTCTCTGCCTTGGTTTCCCCACCAGACAGATGGAGACAGGAATATGTCCCATTTTTTTGTAAAGTGGGCTATTTAAGCCTTAACTATATTGAAACCAATGGGACTTCTCATAAAACTCAGGCCATGTCTACAAGCTGTGCTGCTGTAGCCCTGTACGTACAGACTTGCTACAGTGACAGAAGGGGTGTTTTCTGTTGCTGCAGTAAATCTACCCCCTCAAGAGGTGGTAGCTAGGTCAACAGATGAATTATTCAATCAATCTAGCGGAGTCTATATGGGGGCTTAGGTCAGTTTAACTGTGTTGCTCAGGGGTGTGAAAAAATGTTCACGCCCCTGAGAGATGTAGCTAGTTTGACCTAAGTTTTAGATGTAAACCAGGCCTAAAGATTAGGATGTATGGAAGAGTTTCCAGGATCAGAGCCTGAGCAGGTGCCACTTCCGAAGCATGAGAATACACAAACTTCCCAATGGTGCAGTAATATATACCCTGATGCCCTCAAAATCTTGCCCAGTAAACACTTAAAAAAAAATCCTTCATCTGTCCAGCCAAGCATTTCATTTCCCTTCCTTCCAACCACAGATTTAATGAACCCTGAAAATAGTCACCTATAAGCAGAACAGTTACTAAAGTGGTTTTCCCAAGTGTTCTGCTTGGTGCCATCAGCCCTTCAACAGTCATGGTGGATTGATCCTCCGTGTCCATAGAGTAGGAGTTGAGGGAATCGCATGTCTCCAAAAACTCTCTCCTGACCTGATCTGGCATTCCTTGTTCACCCAGAATTCTCAATTAACTCAATAGGGACCTGATCCCACTCTCATTTACATGGGTGTAAATCTGGAGTAACTCCACTGAAGTTAGTTATGCCAGTGTAAATGCAAAGTGAGAGCAGAATGCGTCTCTAGGTGGTATGAGAGGGGTGTGCAAGGACTGGGGTCAGGCCCCCTGCTGGCTCCCATATGCTTAGGAGGAGGTGCTATTACTAGTGCTCGTTCATCTTGTATGGAACACTAACACAGCAGTGAAGCTGGAACAGCGATTGGGAGCCCAAGCCGCCCGTGTAAACCCATTGATTTCAATGCACAAAACTAGCTAACAGTAGAATCATCCCTTTCCTCCCTGCACTTCATATCTACCCCTTGACTTCAATAGGCTTTGCATCAGGCCCTGTGTGCATTTGCCCAAGACGGAGGCTATTTGTCCACATCCTCTGCCTCACTGCAAATTTCCACATTGAAGATGCCAAGACAGGGAGGCCCTTAATTACCCAAGCAGGAAAAAACACCTAGGTAGACAGAGTGAGCCTGTGAGCCAATGGAAAGCCTGGGAGAGGTGGCTCATGCTTCACAAAAGGCGCCTTGTTCCCCCCACTGAACTGCCAGGTCAGTAATTTCCCCTCCTCCTTCTCTACCGCCCCCGCTGCCCAAATCTTCCCAGATGACAGAAAACAGAAATAATGCCCACCCCAAAGCCCTCCCTGCCCTTAGCCCAGGCAGCATGGAGCTCTGCCCCCTTCCCCCCCACCTGCTGCGCCAGGTGTCAGCAGAGGCGCCCAGCACTGGAGGCAGCTCCAGGGATGCAGCCTGACAGCCTCAAGCTCCTAGTTACACAGTAACCTGTTGTCTGGTTGTGGCTCCACCTCTCCCTGCCTCCCAGCCCTCCCCTCCCTGTGCTGTTCCTCCACTGCCCAGACGCCACCTGCTCTCAGTGAAGCTCGGGAGACTAAAGTGGAAGACAGGGGCAGAGTGAATATAAAAAGGAGCCACCCTGGAAAATTAGGTGGGTTCCCCCTTCCCTCCTTCTCTGTTAAACTATTCAGCTAAAAGCCTCTGGGACACTGGGGCTGCATCCACATCAGCCAAAGCACTTTGCTGAGGGAAAAGCAGAGGGGCTCCTGGTGTGCTGAGAATGGCAGCAGGACTTCCCTAACAGGGCACAGCTAACTGGGAGAGGAAATAAAGACCAGGAAACAGCAGAGGCTTCTCAGCACTGGTAAGTCTCACCTCTTAGTTCTCCACAGTCCATTATTCTCTGTGACATGTGCCTACTTCAAAGAATGGGGCCATGCAGCTGGGGAAGCGTGTGCGTTTGGGGCAGGGAAAGGTTGTAAGAATTTAGTGCTGGGAGACATTAAAGAGAGGGATTTCTCTAAAGAAGGAAAAAGCATCAAATTTTCCAGTGTTTTCCTTTTCACGCCCTTTCCTGCCCAGTGTCCTACCTCCAGTAGGTGGCACTTTCTTGGCAGGGGATGGCTGTTTGGCAGAGAAGAGGCTTTTTAATGAAATCTGAAGATTGTATTTTTGTGTCGCTGTTTGTTTGCAAACAAACGTTGGGGTTTCCTCCTCTCCGGAGAAGTTGGAAGGAATTTTCCCTGTTTCATATTTGGGTCCTTTCCTACTTGCTGGTTTGCTGGGTCGTCCCACAGCACACAATTTTACACCGTACTTAAAAATCTAGTGGGGGTAATTTCTGAGCGGCAGGGCTCACTCATGACTGTGCAGGCTCCCTGAAATCTTTCATTCTATACCTGTAGCAAGAGAGATTGTCTGTATACTCTCCCCGTTTTGCTTATTTGGATGTTAAATGTCCTCAGGGGGACATTTGGCGAGACTAGATTTCTTTGAAGTGTTGACTGATGGTATTTCTAAACTCTGGGAATTATTCCTCATATTGTGAAACAATCAGGCAGTAAAATACGATGCTACATCTCCTATAATTAGGGCTATTCCATGTGATTCTGCCTCTGCTGGGCTGCTTTGAAAATGTTCCAAGAACTGTCTGGAAGATTAAACAGGGACAGATCCTTCAGTTCTTGCTCATTCAAAAATCCTATTGCAGTCACTGAGCTGCCACTGCAGGGTTTGCCCCGCAGTGAGGCCAGTTTCCATGTCAGGGAAAGCAATTGTAGTGAGAGGGCCAGATCCTCGACTGGTGTAAACTGTCCTACCTGTATTGAAGTCAATGGAGCTACTGCTGTCCACCACCTGAGAAGTTATCTGTGAGCCTTCTTAGTGCCAAACAAAATACAGCTAATATGGGCTCCAAGAATTCCTCAGTAAAGCTTGCAGTTGTGTGTTCAAAGTTTCATTTAGTTGTGTGATCAAGTGATATGCTTGGGCACAGAAAAGAATGGTTCAGTAGAAAAAGAGACCCTGATAACTAAGCTCTTTGGAGGTATGGGCCTTTTTAAAAGGCTCTGGTCATAAAAAAGGAGATTGAAAGCCACGGACTTTGCTATGGAAATGCAAATAAATGCAGTAGAAACTGCCATGCCGGGCGGCATATTGTTCTCATTTAAACAAGAGACATTTAGAGTAATATAAATTATTTAATTACCATCTTAGATTTGCGGTCAGACCTGAACCTGATCCTCAGCTGGTGTCCAAAACTGGTTGTCTAGTATAGGTTGGTCTTTATGATAAAGTGGAACCAAACTGCACTGGAAACCACATGGGGATACTTTAATATTATTTGTATAGTGGTAGGGCCTAGGAGCCCCAGTCATGGACCTGCTCCTCCATTACACTAGGCACTGTACAAACCTTAACGTGATTGACTGGGATGAGGGTTTACTTACTAGTGCCAGGTGTTGCTTAATGCAGGTGCATGATTATTTGTCTGACATATTAAAGCTTCGATCATTAGGTTTTGTAGTATAACACTCGAAAGCTGAACCTATGCTAAAGGAACAGACTACGCAGAATCTGCTATGGGTATAAGTCAGCTGTGGTAGTGAATTGAGCTATGCCAATTTGCTCCAGCTGAGGATCTGACCCCTGGATCGGACAAATCACTTTCCTTTGTGCGTTGCAAAGGTGAGTACCCTTTAGATGGGCTTGTGACTGTCCAGGTTTCTTATTAGGGATGAGGGAAATTTAAGAGGCCCCACAGTTCTAAAGGCCCCAAATGCTTCCAAAAATATTCCAGAGGTTTTGTCAGATTAAGGAAAAAGTGAAATATATCTATGTATTGTCAGTGTGTGTGGAGGTGGGGTTGAGGAATGTCCATAGGAAACAACTCAGAGCACTATGTGTGATCAATTAACTATTCTGGGGCATGAAAAAAAAATCCCACATTGGGATGCGGGGGTGGGGGGCAGGGGAGTGAAAATTTAATCTCACAGAATTATTGCCTGGATGATTCTCTCAGGGCTGGATCCCTCAGCTATGTCCTCCTGTCTGTCTCTTTTCCTTTCTCCCTCTCTCTGCTCCCTCTCTCCCCCACATCCTGGTCTCTCTCTCTCTCTCCTGTGAATGCTGATTCCGGGAAGGTTAAGTGGTTTTGTTGACAACCATTTTCTCCTAGCACAAGGCCAAATTCTGCCCTGACTCACACCTTGCACAAATTTATAATTTCAGCGTGATCTGTAATAAAGCTATCCACTACCTGCTGATTCTACCCAACACAAACCTGCCAGCCTTCCAAACATCTCCTCTGACAAACGGTCCCCAGAGGCTGTGCCTTTGAAAGACCATGGACTTTCTGGAATAACATCACAGCCAGGGATTATTTCCCACCCTGCAATAAAAGACACCCAAATGGCCCAACCTTTGCAACTGTTCTTCCTGGAATGATGTCACAATGGCAGTGCATAGCATATCTAACACTGCAACATCACTCCTTTGCCAAGGTATCCACATCAGATCTTGTTTGACCCATGTTCATTAGATAGATAGCTAGTAATGTGGGCAGTTTGCTAAGAGCCTTCAAAACCTCTCACCTGATCTTTGAGATACCTCTTTCTTCCTCTCCCATTCTACTCATCTGTAATAAGAAGCCTTATTGAAAAGCTTTCATAAACAACATGCATATGATTATGCTGCCGCTAATCTGAAATTCTCTAGCCACAGAATAGGTCGTGGAAGCTCCCAAACACTACCCCACCTATATTACAGCAGGGACTCTGGACCCCAGCCAAGAATGAGCTAGACATTATGCAATCTGAGGCCAAGCTGGGAACAAACTTTGGCTCCTGACTCCCAGTCCAGTGCCCTACCCACATGACCATGTGGCCTATTTATCTTATCTCTGGGCGTTGCCACTGCTAGAGGATAGAGGGGAGTTTGAGTCTCCAGACCCATTCAATCATTGGCCTCTCTGTCGAGATGCATTTTAGGGTCAGTGGTGGTGGGGTGGACACTTGTCCACTGGAAGCTGGACTGAGACATTTCGTGTGTCTTTCATATATATTTAAGGGGGTGACAACAATTCACCCTACCTGCACTGGATTTGAACAGACAACCTTAGGGCAAATATATCCTATTACCAATCCCTAAGACGGCTAGTCACTACAAACAGGGAGTTTAACTTTTAACTGGAGCACCTTAGGGAGCCGGTAATGCATGCAACTCTGATTGTCCTGATACTGCACAGAAAAGGCCCCTTTTGCTAGGCAGATTTGTATGCAAATGGAAAGCTTTTCCCTTTGAAGGGAGGCAAAAGGTTTCCATTCACATTATGCACCTCTTCGGTGGCAGAGTGATTTGTAATCCTCTTTTGGTGAAACGCATGATGCAGAGGATAAGACGACCTGTTTTCTTCCCCAGGTTATCTGAATAAATGAGTAGGAATCACAACTAAAAAAGGGAAATAATCTGCCCTCAAAGTGTCCATGTAGCACAACAATTTGGAAGCCTCACACAGTTAGTTTTGGTTGCATAATGAATGCACTTAGGCTCCACCCAGGCTACAGCTCATCAGTGTTCACAACCCCACTACTGAAACAGGCTTGTTCCTAGCAGGGCTCTAGAAACATTTCCTTAGCTTGTGGGGATGGGAATATTTTTTCTGACAGCCTCGTTATAAACCATGCTCTGGACTACAGGGTAGGGGGGTCATTATTCCATACCATGATTCTCAGAAAAACTGTTCCTGTCCACACCAGCCATGCGAACACCCTGCTAGCAAAAGTCACATAGGAAGAGCAATGGGTGTATTTTCCAAGGCAAAGGAGGCTGCTCATTCTGTGATGCTCTCCTCACCAGTGCGAGTCTGTTTTCAGAGGAAATACAGTTCTTGGTTAGGGACACCAGTTTCCTCAGTCTGCTCCTCCCACCAGCAGGCTCCTGTTGCTTCCACATGGGAAGACTCCATTTGACTTCAATGGGCTTGAGATCAGGCCCTGTTGGTCTCCCACTTAGGCAAATGATGTATCCCTGAGAGAAGGGAACGGCCCTACTTTCAGGCTTGTCCAGGTTATTCTACAACAATAGGTGTTTTGTCCCAGTTGTTTCCAACACTTACATACTTGTGTGGTGGAGCCTCTAGCTTAGTTAAGCCAGTGAAACTGACCGCAGCCAGGCTGAGTGCATCTGTACCTCAGACTTGTCATGCTGTCCTCTCCAAGGCTCTCTAGCGAACCCCCTGCCTGCCCCAGCTAAAGTGCTGCCAAAATCCTCCTGCCCGTGCTTTCCGGACACCCCACCAGAACCGTGCCCTGCTTCCACACCAGCTACAGCTGACGGGGCTTTCCACCATGAAAATGCGGGTCACTCAACTCCTGCTGCTCCCAGTCCTCCCACCTTCTCACTGGCTGAAAAAGAAAAATAATGACTTCATTGCTGTAGCTCTCAGCCTCCCTGCTTCGAATGCTTGGGGCTGCCTGCCACATGCTCTGTATGTCTCTAGGAGCAGCTCTGTTCTCCACAGCAGCCAGGCAAACTGTCTTGACCCTATGTTTGCTTAAACCATGTATTAGAATAGTGCATCTAACCCAAGTAGGGCTAGAAAAAGTGTGTGTGTGGGGGGGGCTGCTCTGCGCTGGCCCACAGGTGTGAATTACAACAGCTGTTGCTATGGCAACTAGGAATCATTAAGGGTGAAGGGGTATCCTAGCCATGCTCCTTTTTCCCCAACCATCTCCCCACATGGGCTGCATGGAGGAGTTGGCAAGATTTCTCCTACAGTGCTGGGGGTGGAATCCTTCTGTGGCCAGTTAAAGAGGCTTTAGGGGAGCTTTGCCCTGGTGGAGCAGCATACAGCTGCTTTGACAC